CTTGGGTGTGCGAAAGAGACACATAACAGCCAGGCGAACACACATCCAAGAGTCAGTAAATCGCATTTAAATGTGAATAGGGATGCCCGCCAGTAAAGGGATACCTGCAGTTTTATTTCCTTCCTTTTAATACCGATCTTAAAGATAGGAGTGAAGGAAAAAACTACTACAACCAAGAATACACTATTTTCACTTCTCAAGTTAGTATGCTTCCCATACAACAAGAGTCTTTTGGTGAAAAATCCGGGTCCCCAATCAATTGCTTTTTTAATGCAATGGCCGGTTAATGAGATTTTCCTAGCGCTTTTTTCAGGTAAGGCAGCCTCTCTTGAGTAAAATTGTTGGGAGGAGCGGAGGAGGGTTGTGGAAACCGAACATACCATCACTTTTATTCCCCAGATGCATTTCACATGCAATTAGAACCATTCAGTAAAAATGTGAGCAATCTTTGAGTTGCTACTCCAAAGTTGGGGCCAATAATTGGCGTAATTTCTGTGTTTTTCAGTTTTGCGCGCCTTTTTTGGGCAAAAACTCGAAGTAAAAGATATTTAAACCCAAAATACCATTGATTTTATTTTTCAAACATATTGTACACACAGTAAGGACCATTCAGGCAAAAAATGAGCGATTTTTTAGTGGACTTTTCAGGGTAATGGACGATTATCGGAATCATTTTGGTGTTATTTTCAGTTTTTTACGCCTTTTTTGGACAAAAGTGAAAAAAAAAATACGAAAGCCCAAAACACCATCAGAATTGTTCTTTAGGCGTCTTTCTAATACTCTTAGGAGCATTTTAAAAAAAATTGGAGCAAAAAATAACTTGCAGCTCAAAAGTTATGGGCATTTGAAGAGGGGAAGGTTTTGTTGCCAAAATCAGACAAAATCACAACAAACAATCAACCGCAGCACATCAATGAGTGAAGTCGAACATTTCATGCTTTTTTTCTCAAATCTACATACTTTCATTGACATTGTGTCAAATTTTCACTTCAATCCGACGAAAAATGGGCCCGGTGTAAATTTTATTGGGAAAAATGACATTCTCTTTCTCGGAAGTTCGAAACGTCACTTTCTTGAAAATTCTTAAAACTTCAAAAATTCATATCTCAGTGAGTTTTTCGATTTGAGACCTAATATTTTGCAAAAGTTTATTATTTGGTGGTCTGATCAAGAGAAAAATTTATCATCAAAATCCGAGTTGGGCGGTTGCATGGCTGGTAGGTTCTATATGGAATGACCCATAAGAGAGCCTTTTAAGCCCTTGGCTCAATGTACCGCCAGGTGACCTGTGTTGCCGATATGCCCTCTCCCTACTTTTTCTGATCACCTTTACGGCATGCTTTCAAACCCTTTCAAGGTAGCGAAACCTCGTCAGCAACCCCAAATTTATAATTTTTCTAACATTTTTCAGGTACAAAGAAGGTTGAGTATTATTGGCAGCAGACATCAGATGATATAACTATCTGGTTCAATATCCCTAGTGACACTTTAAGTAATCAGATCTCTGTCAACGTTCAAGATTCAGAACTAAAAGTTAAGTGTGTTGATAGGGTCCTACTACAGGGCTCTCTGCACAGCAGTGTCTCTGAAAATTTAACCACATGGACCCTTGATAAAAACAAGTAAGTAAATATTGTTTTAATCTTTGTGATAGTTTTGTAAAGGTACTTTGTATCATGGTAAAAGTTTTATTAAAAGTAATTTTTTTGAATAGTTATTGGTCATTCAAAAGATATAATTTGGGGATCATAAATGGTATGGTAGTCTGTAAAAATCACCAGTGATATGAAGTCTCATCAAAAGTTTTGTGTACAAATATAATGTATGATGAGGTTTGAAATTCAGTTCAGTTCAGTGTGAGTTTTTGGACCTTTTCCAAGTTTCAGGCTTTCAGCTTGAGTTCGGTTTGGATCCAAAATGCAAGGTTAGCTTAACCCTACGTATAACCTCAAAATGTTTGATATGCAATGGGTTACTGGACAAGATCTAAACTAGAAGAAAACATTCCTTATCTCTTCTTCAAAATCTTACGTAGAAAACGATTTACACCACAGGAAGTTCAAAAACCAGCTCCTGAACGAGATATTAACAATTATTTTTAACACAGATCAAATGAAGTTAGATCATACAAATGACGTCTTTTGTATTTTTGCCATTTAACCAATGTTAATTATATATCCTGTTCAGGAGTTGATTTCCAGACTTCCTGTTGTGTAATTAGTTTCTTCGTGAAATGTTGAAGAGAAAACATGTTACGTAGTGCTTTAACTCACACCTCGTCTAGCAGCCCACACACCAAAAGCCATTTCTCCAGGATTTAGAGCGTCACTCTTTCAAATTCTTCTTTGTGCAAGTGTTTTTTGAAAGCAAAATTTAGCATGAGATTAGCATGTTCTTGAAATTTTTAGGGTGCTTGAAATAAGCCACTACCAAAGCGTTGCAAAAAATCATTAACTTTTTTTTGCCATTTAAAGCTTTTCGACAATTAGAGCATATAAATCACTAAAACCATTTAAACACTCGTCATCATGACATGCTGAAGATGTAGTCAGAATTAATACAGCACATTATTTGGAGTATGAGATAAAATTTTAACATTTGATAGTAACAGTGTTACAAATTTTTAGGAACTGAATGAATACAAATTATGCAACAACTTCAATTCAGCAGTTCTAATGCAACAGCAATTGCTCTCTTTTTTTCTCAACATTTTTTATCTATTTTTCTCTTATGTGTTGCCCTAGAGCAATAAGACAATGTATTCAAAGCTAATTATGAAATTTAGCAAACCTTTGATAGATATGAGTGATTATGTGGAGTATATGTTATTGAATTATGTAACTTAATTTTTTTAAAAGATCACAAATTTTTAACACTGTTTTCCAAGAAAAATGTGTCTTCACTCTGGAAAGAGGCTCATCTTTTCTCTTTGCTTCTTATTTTATTTTCCTGGTTTCTCTTTTTTCTTTCTCAAGATTGGAAGTGAACCTCTCCAAGTATGAATTAGGACTAATGTGGCCTTGCGTTATCAGGAATAATTTAAATGGTGAAGAGATAATGGATCCAGAGCTTGTTCAAGAAATTCATGAGAGACTGGCTCATTTGTGTTCAGAGACTGAGGTAAGTTCTCTTGTAACATACTTGTTGTTTGCCTACACCTTTATATTCCACAGGCGTTGTGTTCTAATATACCCTTCTATGGCGTTTACAGGGTTGCCACAGTCAGGGATTACCGGGAAAAGTCAGGGAAAATGATGAAAACGTAAGGGAAAATTGTTTGGTCACCTTTATTTTCTGTCTAGAATGGGTTTAACGTTTCAAACCACACATTTTGTCTGAGAACTATTCCTAATTATGTCTTATTAACTATCTGGCATATCTTCAATCATCAGAATTTCACCAAAGTGATTCAGGGAATTTTATTTTCTAAATTCTGTGGCAACCCTGCATTTACTTGTGGGTTGCTCTTTAAGAGAAAATGGATCTCATGACCTATGTTTTACAAAATGTCATAACTGTTTCCCAACTCTTTTGAGAATCACATGTGCTGGATTTTGGTTAATCCGTCTTGTTTATCGTCTGAACAAGTATGTTCCCTCCTATCGCAGAAATTGTCTAATTCTCATTAGTGGCTGTAAAAATTTTTAAATAATAATTTTAGGATCAGAATTCAATTTATTGAAGTTTAAAGTTAGCAGTTTAATTCTTTTGGCGTAATATGTGAGCTGTTCATTGCCTTATTTAAACTTGCTAGTCAGATCTAACCAAGAAATAAAATTTGCCTTTCATTTTTACCCTTGAACAGGGGTCTACAAGTCCAGAAATAGTACGGTTTTTTTAAGGGCAGCTCAGAAGCACTGAAAAAGTGCGGAAATTCCGGAAGTCGGTTCGGATTTTTTGAGATGTTTTGTCATTTTTGTCGCAATTTGAGCGAGAAATTAAAATTTTTCAAATCTCATTTATTGGAGGGACTGAAAAAGTACTGAATTTTCCCACCGAGGAGGTACTTAATTTCTTGAGAATGTACTGAAAAAGCACTATAGAAGTACTGCTTTTTGGCCAACCTGTTTTAGTAGACACCCTGTTGAAACTTTATCCTCAGCAATAGATAAAAAAGAGGCAAGCACATTAATGCTCTACCGAGTTCTATTTACTGATTTTCATAAGGATCTTGTGTATTCTTCAAGTCCATTTGTGTTAATGGAGTTGAATTTTCATATTTTTATCTATGGTGTACAGGTGAAGGCCAAAGACATCGGCGACATGTGTGCTCCAACATTTAACATGGACCAACTAGAAGAGTGTGACGCTATTAGTAACGACTCAAGGCTGTTGTCAAGAATAAATACATCCTCTCACGCCTTCACGCATCAGGTATTTCATACTTGTCTCTTTATTTTCTTAATAAATTTAAATTTGAACAGCAAGGTATCCTTGGGAAGAGGGTCTATTGATACCCTTGAGACTTGTCATACTTGGGTGCTTTTAATGATATCCAGATGAAAAATTAGCATCCACCAAATCTGGAAGCGGAAAACTACACTGCCGTGCTAAGCAAGAAATCCATCCAGATTTCCCCTCGTTTTTTGGAACTTAACACTTTGTAAAATAAGAACTGTTTTACCCTTGCACCTCAAATTTTCAGGTTAAGTTCTTGATAGTATTTGCAAAAGAATTCTGTAAAAACATTGTCCCAAGGTACACAAATTATTCTGCTATGATACATTGTTTCCAAAAAATGTAAAATGGCGTTTACGGCGTTTTTGCGTTGCACGGTAGTACAGTAAAACACCTCAGGAAAACTCATCTTGTGGAAGAAAAACCCCACGAAGCAAAGAATTTCAATGATACGGTAGGGGTATGGAAAACGCTCAATCATGCGTCTGCCCAGGCGTGTGAAAATGTGGAAAGGCCCTCACAAATGTGGAAGTAGGGAAAATTTTTAAGGATCAAAAGTCAAAAACCAAAGGAGAGGAGAGGGAAAAGATCTTCACTTTTGAAACTAGTAGGAAATTTTGTGGAAAACTGATGAAAAAAGTGTGGAAAGCCGGCGGACAGGCTGGTAAAAATGTGGAAGCTTGTAAGATTCTGCACCCTGTGACAGTGACAAGATGCCAGTAGATCCCCGCAAAATGTGTTTCTTGCACTGTATTTTGCCTAAAAAAATTACACAGGTCTGACAAAAAAAAATCCTTGGGGGGGGGGGGTATGAAGAAAGCTGATTTTTTTGTAATTTTTACTGCTAAGTCCGAAAAGACTCGATTGTAGGTATCGACAGATTTTCCAGAAAATCGTGAATTTCCCTCCAAAAACGGGGTTTTCAAGGAAAATTCAATTCCCGAGAAATTGGGGCTTGAAAGAGATGAGCTCAGGCCATTTCTGGATTCAGCATTTCAAAATACATAGGTAATAGTGGATCTGATGTCTAAATATTTATTCTTGATGTGCCTGATAGGTAACGAGATTTCGCGCCTAAAATATGTTTGTTTTTTAGTGTATTTTCCAAAGAAAATACACTATTGCATTCTCTCATGTTGTGAGACCTAGACCTGCGACCTTGTTGAAAATTTGATTTTCTGGAAATGACAAACTGACAAAGTTAAAAATGACATTGTATTCCACGTCACAACCAAACAGCCAGCTTGGAGTGGTCATCTTAATATGATGACAGAAGGGAGGCTGGCAAAGAAGATGCTGGCTTTGGTTCTTCTTGGGAGGAAACAAAGGGAACGCCCTGTGAAAAGGTGGAAATAGGGGATTTTGCAAGAAATGAGGGAGTCCCAACTCCCTGAAGGGTTTTGGGAGGATGAGGGACTTAGGCAGGTAAGTATCGCAGAGCGCCAGAAAGTGCTATGAAAGCGCCTTATCCGTGTGTGTGTGTATGATTTCCCAGATAATTAATAGGAGATGAAAAATAAACAGCTCCACTTTAGGCAAGGCTTTTTGGTCTGGTTTTAAAATTTACCCTTTTATTTTAGGCCTCTCTAAGTGGTTCCAAGTGGCTTTTTAATGGATTTGTTTCACCTGACCAAGGACAAGGCTTTTGTCTCCGTCATGATGTAGATGGTTGCTTCTGGATTCCCAAAGCAGACTCTAATAGTGGCTGGAAGTGTGAACACATCGCCACATTCCTAGCCCTTGGCTATGTTCAAGCATCAAAGCAACAGAAAAAGTTCATCGTTTGTCCTCCTGGTAAAATTTTTAATCATTGCTTTGATAGGTTTTCTCGGTCAAAAAGATTGATTTTGTTTTTAATTGAATCGAGGTATGCGAAAACGTCCGATGTCCATTTTTTTGGATTTTGAGTTTTTTGGCTTAACGTCATCTTCAAGGGTAGGCGCATCTATGTGTAGACAGATTTGACCTGTTTTTTGTTTTTTCGCCCCCATTTAGGGGGTCGAACCTCAAAAGTATGCGAAAACGTCCGATGTCCATTTACGAGGGTCATCCAATGAGGTTCCCTACCTCTTATCTTCCAAACGGAAAGAGATAAATCAAATTGGTAAAAAAGTTCTTATAAGGCATACTCTAAGCTTTAAAAGAAGCTCAAGTTTTCGAAAATTGGTCGAGGGGTTCGCGAGGAAACTTAATTTTACTGCGACAACTTCCTGTCGCCGCGCGCCCACCTTCGGAGTCTGGATGCGCGGAGAGTCGATTATTTCAGACTTGGGTATTCGCCGCTAAGCATCATATCAAAAAGAAATTTGAAGGTTTTTATTGAGTAGACCTTACCTTACTCTTTGACGTAGTCTCCGCCTGTGTTTTGACATTTCTGGTGTCAATATTGCAGCTTCTTGATGCCTTCCGCGTAGAGGCTGGCTCTTGTCTTGGCACCGGAATCAGTCATTGACAGCACTCTGTACTTCCGAATCATTCGGATTCCGCTTTCCACCGAGGAAGTTTTTCAGCTCAGTGAACAGACGAAAGTCACATGTGGCTGAATCGTAAGAGTACGGAAGATGGAGGGATATTTTCTTATGCAAAGCAACTGATTCCGAAGTGTAGAGGGCTTGTCAATGACTGGTTTTGGTGCCAAGACAAGAGCCAGCTTCTACGCGGAAGGCATCAAGAAGCTGCAATATTGACACCAGAAATGTCAAAACAGAGGCGGAGACTACGTCAAAGAGTAAGGTAAGGTCTACTCAATAAAAACCTTCAAATTTCTTTTTGATATGATGCTTAGCGGCGAAAACCCAAGTCTGAAATAATCGACTCTCCGCGCATCCAGACTCCGAAGGTGGGCGCGCGGCGACAGGAAGTTGTCGCAGTAAAATTAAGTTTCCTCGCAAACCCCTCGACCAATTTTCAAAAACTTGAGCTTCTTTTAAAGCTTAGAGTATGCCTTATAAGAACTGTTTTACCAATTTGATTTATCTCTTTCCATTTGGAAGATAAGAGGTAGGGAACCTCATTGGATGACCCTCGTACTTTTTTCCACTCCATTATTTTTACTTCCAACCCCCCCCCCCCCCTCCCCCCCCCCCCCC